CATATGTGTATACTAATTACTGTTTGACATTTATTCATAAAATCGGTGACGAAACTGTGCTTCTCTGTACAGCAGAGTGCTTCTGAAAATTTAATAGTCGATCGTCTCTTCGAAAGATTACCAACTTCTATGAAATCCCAAGGGTTCGCGAACATTTTTCTGCAAATGTGCCAGCTACTGAGAGACAGAACTTAACGAACGTATCTTAAAATATGTTCAGTCTTTTCATAACTGAATGTTCCGGTAGAAAATACAACCAATATCAAAATTAATGTCAATATTCTCTGCTGATATTGCGTTTATTGCCAAGAAACTGAGGAATGTATGACATTTTGTTAATGTCGCTAGTAGAAATACAACAAACTTCACTCAAATGTCACAGTTCTTCATAACTTAAAAACGAATTTTAAAAAGTTTACTTCAAATATCACGTTTCCCCTTATGAACGCCTGAGTTGTGCACTTCAATGTCAAATCCACTGAGTCGAGTATTGAACATACATAAAGAATAATCTTTTGTCGTACATATATACGGCAAAATGTTATTCCATGTGTCACACGGTACACTTGTATGAACATGGTAGTAACTTACAACTTTTGCCATCACTCACTTTACTAATATCTTATCTGCTCATAATAACCATATAATACAGGGTTATTCATATTTCCCTGACACATTACAAATCATCGCCGGACTTGAATGGTGAAAAGGATTGTGACATGCGACATGTCTATATAAAGAGAATCTCTCCAAGTTTATTTTACATACCTCATAAATGCTCAATAACCATGAGCTACTTCATTGGCCACCCCGATCACATGAGCTTACGCCAAAAGATTTATTTTTATAGGGGTACATTAAAGACCAGGTCTTTGTACCGCCTCTGCCATGGGATCTGCCTGAACTGCGAAGAAGAATCATCGCTGCCATCTCACAAATCGATCGTGGAATGCTGCAGAGGGTGTGAGCGGAAATGGATTATCGGCTTAACGTCTGCCGCGTCACAAAGGGCGGACACATAAAGCATTTATGGGGTATGTAAAATAAACTTGGAGAGTTTCTCTTTCTATCGGCATGTCCTATGTTACCATTCATTGCACCATTCAAGTCTAGCGATTTTTTGTAATGTGTTAGGGAGTTATGAATAACCCTGTATTTTACATAAAACTAAAATTAACATGCGAAAATAGGTGCGTATCTTAGATAATTGAAATTTTGGGTACCTAAGTAAATTTCAAAACTCCTAAGACTGACATTGGTTAAAATCGTCGAAAGAATAATTTTTTTAGCCCGGAAACTAAACACGATAGAAGAACGGGACAAGACTAAAGTTCTTTCTATCGACAAGGATACTACAGGAACGAAGGACATAACAACAAAGAAACTTTCCTGAGTTCGAGTCTCGGTAAAGATTTATATAGCTAGAAAAATAGGCATAACAGAAAAAAAGCATAAGGCAACAGATGTTTGTTTTGGCGACGAGATTAAATAAACGAATGACACAAACCCGTTATCTGGCTTATATTTGAGTCCCAGTGAAAATGGCTTCTGTAACTCGAGAACTGAGCACGATAAAAGAATAATACCAAGACAATTAGCCATGGCGATTGCGCTGATGATGGAGGCAGAAGTATGTATGAAACTTCCGTAAACTTCTACCAGACTACATGGCGTAACAATCCAAAGCAGAGCAGACAGCCACCTTCATAGTAGCAGCCGTGTGAGCCTCAAATCTCGCTACCTCTATTGTATTTATTTATAAGAAATTCTTCGCTTTATTAAAATCGAAGATTAATTTCAGTGGTAACAATATATCGAAAATAAATTACATCTCGAGTAAGTTAAATATGATCCACATACTGGCACCCAGTTTCTTTCGGGTCAATTTTAATAATATTCTCAAACGTTTCTAGGTTCCGAAGTGCTCGTCTGGCTTCCGCCAGTAAGATGTCCCTTAATTTAATATTTAGAAGAGTATTAGGTTAACAGTGCAAACTAAGAAGCTTCGAATTATGTCATTTTATAATTTTTCGCTTATTTCCCATATTTTAGTTCCAAGAAGTTTTCTCGGCATGTTGTTCTCAATATCCTCAAATCACGTTTTTGACATAAGGAAATGAATAAAATAATTTATTATATTCTAATTTTTCTACTAATTCTCTTTATATTCTAATGCTTATCTCATTACATTATGATCATTATTTAACAAAGATTGTAACGCGAAATAAATCCATGGGACTGGCTTAAAATTCATTAATATGAAAGTAAGGTCAATTAGGAATTCTTCTCAAAGACACGGCTGAATTACTGTCTACTTTATTTTTTAATGAAAGTTTAAAACAAAACACCAGATATGATGTCTGATTCTGTTCATGTCAGATTATTTTGTGTGTTAAAATTCGATGTATCTCCCTCTCTGAATTATGAAAAACATTATTTTTTTAAACACACATCATAGTCTACATACGAACTTCGATTCTCAGAAGCGAAAATTTTACTATTGAATACACTTCATGATCTCGAAACTATAGTCATCAGCTGCAAATGATTAGCGTTAACATAAAAATAGCTGCTATATTTATAAAAAAGTTAGACCATGTAGTAAAAAATTAAACTCAGTAACATGAATTTAAAATTTTCAATCTGTTAATTGTTCGGAATAAAACAATGTTTAACAGCCAGGACCCACAATAAATTATATTATTTAAAATAAAAATTCTCGCTCACAAATAATACCGAATGACAATATGTTAACAGCAACCTAACGTTATCGATTCGAAGCTTAACATTTCGATGTATAAAACGATCCTTGATATTTACGAAATGTAAAATTATGACGAATTGTATAAAAAGCTGCAAATACAACACAGGAAGCAAAAGATGCCAATATGAATTTTGTTACGAAATCTTCTGGAAGGCAGATTATACAGATTGATATTGGAAAATAATATTAAAATTGATCAGAGGTAAATAAGCTATAATAATAGACGACTGGATTCAACAGGCTCAAATCTGATCAAATAATGGCGTTGAACTATCAAGTTAATACATCAGAGTTACTAAACCGGCGATAGTGTCCAAGAAGACAAGTCATGTTCATGCTTGTCACCGTGAGAACCTCAAACTTCACCAGACCGGAATGCATTTATCATAATCGTATTACTGTAATAACCGCATTATGTTCTACTAGGATAAATGACAACAATGACTGCAGTTTCAACTGGTAAATCTCTATTCTCAGCTGTACGTTATGGAATTTCTACGGATGATTTTGCTTTTCAAATTAAATTCCTCTAATGGAAACCGAAATTTCAGTACCGTTCACACTAAAATCCTCCCCCCAAAAGCGATGCTGCGAGAGTTGCTACATCATAATTTGTCTGTGATCTGTCTTAATGACACCGTCCCATCACATTCTTGGTCTTCAATTGACCGCTCTTAAAGGGGTTTACCAACCGCATTTTGAGGTCGTTTTAAATTTTACGATCAGTAAAACAAAACATCTAAGTGTACATGAAAGATAATTTCGTTTTCTGTTCACATACTAATTCCTATCCTTACTAAATGTTTTCATATTCTAACAATAATTATAACTTTTTCTTTCTTTCTTTCTCTTTTACCATCTTTTTACCCGTAGGTGTCGAGTTTTTTATTTATTCATTTTGATCTATTTGGACAATGGTAGGATTCCTTGGATGAGTGATCAGCCCAACGCAAGGCCTCTACCTATACAAACACAGAAAGACGCGGACAAACATCCATGCCTTTAGTGGGACTCGAACCCACGGACCCAGCGGCCAGGCGCACGAGGTCCATGCCTCAGGCCGCGTGGCCACTGCGGCCGTTAATAATTATAACTAGTTTTTGATAACTTTAAAACTTTTTCCGATTCTGCCGAGACAACATCGCATTAGCATACAAAACCAGATGTTTCCTTCATTCATAACAGCAGTAATTGTAGTAGAATGAGGCACACAATTCTGTAGTCTGCTTTCTTGTATTTCGCTCTTGCGACATGTTTTTCTATTACAAATGGACACAGATGAAATAATTATGTAATGCAGTTGATAATTATGGTGCTATAATATGCCTATATGAACTCCACAAAGTCAAATTTTATTATAAAGATTTCTGTCTCTACTGGGTTGTTGCACTGTGTAGTCTGGTCAATGTTAACCAACATTCCACAGGTCATACTGCCTCCGTCATCAGGGCTCCCTGAAACATTTGAAAACATCTACCAGACTACACAGCGCAACAACCCAGAAGACAGAAATCTTCAGACTCACCGCTGTGAAAACCTCAAATCTTACAAAGTTTATTATGTTTGCTCACTAACCTATTTTGTTCTGTAGACTTCAAAAATATAATTCTGATTCAACAAGGAAACGCAAGTGTAGCACACGATCAAGGGCGAAGGGCTAGAAAGTTACTAACTTTGTTGATTAAGATATTGCAACCCAGATTAATCTTAATTCTGCTGTGGAATCAAAGTTAAACCAGACCATTCTATTTAATCCAGTGTAACTTCTATCTAAATCCATGGAGCAGAGAATGTAGTTATCGTTAAGTCAATCAAGGAATTTCGACCTTTTGTGGAACCATTTTTTTATCGTGCTCACAATAGACCACCACCACCACCACCACTGGTCCCTACTTAAGCCACATGAGTCCAATCCAAATCCTCTAACCCTGTTACCTTAAGATTCATTTTAACACGGTCCTCCACCTATGCCTCGACCTTTTGAGTGGTCACTTTTTCCTTTCGGATTTTCCGATCAAAACTGTACACGAATTTCCCTTTCCTCCCATGCATGCCACGTGATGTCTGGATACTGGCTTCAGTCGCCGCGAAGATGTTACATTATATTTATTTTATAAAGGCATTTTATAAATTGTGCTCTGTTAACGCGATTAGCAAAGATGATTCTGCAATAAATTGTATTCCTATTAAACACAAATAATTTAATTCCAATCAGAGGTCAGAGTTCATTGCTTACCCAGAATCTCAACAGTGTGTATCTGGTCGCGGTTATCGCCGTCGCTTATCTGACACACGTAGTCGCCAGCGTCTTGCGGCATCACATTGTTGATCTCCAAGTTGTATCCGTCCACAAGACGGAAGCGGGAGTCCCTGGTCACCATCAGCGTCGCGGCAGTCAGTACAGAGCTTCCACGTCGCCATAGTAACACGTATGACCCTACACAGACAACAAGAGATGCACGTAAGTGTTAAGAATGACCAAACACAGCGTTCATCAGGAGTCATTTAGTAGCCGCCACCAAATTGCATGTTTCAAGGCCATTGCTGCGCGGCTGTTAGTGAACAGTACAGCTTTGATACGCTGTAAGTTGTGAGTTGTCTTCACTTGCCTGAGCTACGATGTTCTTGTTGCAATTTTGTACGATTTTGCAGTGACATCGAAGCATGCATTTTGGTGACGGTTACATTTGTTCTTGATTCGGCGAATAAACTTGTACGGAAATGTTTATGAACATTCTTGGTTAAAGTGTAATTGACGTTTAGTAATTCATTGTGACTGAATAGGATTTAAGAATGTGTAGCCTGGGAATATTTTATAAACACGAGCTTTGATAAACAGTCCCCAATTTTCAATGCGTGCATTACTCTTTAAAAATGTCTTAAGTCCAAACACTCGCCTTGCTAGCTCATTTCAGAACACCTTCAATCCATAGTTTCGTGTCTGATTCTTGAACCAAGTTACACACCCGCATTAAACACAAAAAATGTAGACTTTGAGTTTTTCACGGCGGTGAGTACGAATATGGCTGTCTCCTGAGTTGTAGGGCAGTATAATCTGGTAGAAGTTTACCAACGTTTCAGAGTTCCTTGCTGCCTTCATCATCAGGGCTATAAGTGACCACTCACCTGATGACTGATTATGGAAGAAGCAAGGACCTCTGAAACGTTGGTTAACATTGACCACTCTACACAGTGCAACAACCCAGAAGACAGAAATTTCCTACAAAACAAACAGTTGTAATAACATTGTTAAAGAAATGTATACTGAATCCATTATGTCTGTTCACTGCATTCATTATTTCTAGAACAAAGTCGTGTTTCTCTGCATTACTTTAACCTCTAAAACTGAAACGTCCCTTAATCTGTACTAAGCAACGCGTACGACATTTAAAGTCTCTTCCGTACGTGTCGAGATTCCATTACACAGGGCTTTGTTCTTCGTATTCCAACAAGCAATCTTGGGAGATACACAAATATATTCCGTACGCATAAATCAACATCAACAAGATTCCTTACACGATGTGTTTCTAAAGTCTAGAAACTGAATACAGTTTGCATCCGTACTTCAAGAAACAGAAAAATTTATTTAAAACTTTAATTACGTACATCATAACCAGTTAGTGTATTACGCTTAAATAAATTTATGACCTATATATTTCATGTTTTGTACTGGTTCATTCAATAATCTGAAATTTAGAAATATATATTTGTAGTGTTCTCAGAAGTAGGATAATTAGATTCGTATTGGGAGTCAAACTTTAATTATAAACGTAACATTCAGTATAAAGAACGTTATGACATTTAAGTTTCGATAATGTATCCGTCACATCACGGAGTATTTCACACTGAAACTAAAGGGCAAATATCGTTGTCCTAAACAGGGGCTTCATTCCAATTTCAGCCAGTAGTTATGGGCATTTTAGCACTTCAAAATTTCATTTTTATGAATTATTATTTCCTTGCGTAAAACCGGTGCTCGAATACGGGATGATTTTACATAGTTACATAATGAAGACAGTTCTAAGGCAAGTGCAGAAATTATGTAAGTTGCCTAATTCGTAGAAATTTCATGTTGCAGCTGTGAATCAAAAGCCACAGGCTGTGAACCATTGGTCTGGTTCGCTCTCGATATTGTTTTTTAATCGCAAATACAGAATAATAATGAACAGCAAAGAACTCATTTGCACAGGAAGTTTCATTACATCGTCATTTCTGCCGTTTTATAATTTCGGCGCTCTGATTGGCTCAACTGAGTCAATAGTACATAAAACTTTAACTTTATACATACCCTGAAACAATTCCGGCATATTAAAAGCAAAACAAGTCGTAAATTAAAAAGGATGTTGTGTGCGTGCGTATGTGTGTTGGTGGAGTATTTTCAACAATACGGACGCTCTAAATTACAAACATTTGCAACTCAGGAATTCGTAACTGATTTGTTCATAAAAGCCCAATAAAGTTATCGTTTACTCAAAAATCAAATATTAGAGCTCCGTTATTGTTATTATTGTAAGGGCAGTCAGAACTAGTAGAAATGAATCATTGTTGTAGAATTTACGGGAGGCGTATTTCGCAGCGTTCAGACCTCCAGAGGTATTACAAACCTTTTTCCAGTGAATGTGTGTTGGATGGATATTACCAGTTGGCCGCAAGGGAAATTAAATTAGAAGTTCAACTCGTACCACGAACTGATTGGCCCCTTTAGTTTACTACAAGATTCATAATGCAATGTCTACACAGCACAGCTAGCATTCGTACAGTTTTGTATCAAAGGCTCAATTGTATGTTACCTGTAAATGTTATTCCATGTATGCTTATTTATTTAATTATTTATTATCCATAATTTGTGTTACCATGTATACCTCCACATTAAAACTAATTTTTACTCTTGAGAGTCGGTTTCATATCAGCATATAATCATCAGTCTTTTATATAAACTCGAATTCTGGAATATACGCCTTCGTGGAATTGTAGTCGTCCATAACATC